CTCTGCTTAACATGAACGTTCTCTTACTGGAAATTGACGATAATTCGTCTTGTGTTTCACCATATATTAATGCATAATCATACCTATCTATTAGTTCTCGCATACATTTCAGATGCAGTTTCCATTATTTCTATTTGGTTTTATTTTACTTTGCTCAACTGTCAGTATTGACGATACTATCATCGTTAGTTCGTTATCTGAACTTTTTTTTTAATGTAAATCAAATTTGCAAAAATAAAACAAATTTCTTGCTCTGTGTTGAAGTAATTAATGTTAATTTATTTTCAGATAGTTAAGCATTTGGAAATGGTCTGATTGTCTTTTTATTTTCAATACTATCCTGCCTTTCTTTCATATTTAACTCTCATGTTTTATATAAAAGATCGCTATTTATCAATAAAATCGATTCAAACATATTATGTCAACTTCCAAAGGTTAAATGATTGATACTATTTAAATTGAATCTTTTGATTTATGATATAGTATCTTGATAGTATATCACGGATTCAAATCTAAAAAAAAAACAAATGAATAAAATAGAACACTGCTAAATAAATATTAAATATATTTCCTTTTAGCATTTGTATTTTTTCATCTATTTTTGTGTACCATATTTTTATCAGCAATAAATGACTCATTGATTGATGCATATATTTAGAATATTGGCATATAATAATTATTTTAAAAGTAATAAAAACCTATTTTTTTCATATATTTTTGATTAGAAAATTCTATTAAATTCGATCTTTACTTCAAACCAATATTACCATTTATTTCTATTGAACTTTATTTAAAAGATGCACATCAACTTGTTAGTAGTTGGTATTATGGTCATGTTTGTAAGTTTAAATTAATTTATAGATTAAAAAATTTCTTCTTTTTTTAAATAGGGATATTTCATACATGAAAAGGCAGTACAACTTTTGAACAATCAATAATTGAAAATAATCATCGAGATCGAACTTATAGAATAATTTAGTTTCAATTATAATCTGATGAATATGAACTAACTATTTTATGTTTTATTCCTTTGAATTTAAATTTGAAATCTGATTTCATAGTCAGCAAAATGTATGGTTGGTATAGAACAAGGTCGTATTATATCATGTAATTGTAAAGGAAAAAAATGATGTAGAAAAAATTGCTAAAGTCTTTGTCGAACATTGGGATCGAATTTATGCACTTCAACATCATCCTAATTTTACAAAAGAATTTTTATCTGTTGGAGATTGAATTGTACCTATTTGATTCGAAGAATTAAGAAACGATTATATAATGTGGACTAAGTAACTATGGAAAAAAAGAAAACGAAATTTCCAAAGTATTATTTAAATGATTTTCGACCGAGTCTGCATGCACTTATCCATAAGCAATGGTCACTAACACGATCATCTATTTTTTATGTAACTACCATGAATGATAACAAAAATAATATTTTTACCAATTCAAATTTTTGATGATCTACTTCATTGTTTATGTGTACAAAAATCCCGAGATCATCTTGTTCCATGTGGATTATAAAATTTGTATAGTAACATTAATTGAAGCATCGAATAATTTATGTATACAAGGAAAAAGTAAAAAAGCTTTAATTACTGGAGTGAGATTAGAATTAAAATATATTAATTAGATATTTAATCGAGAAACAAGATTTGCAAAGATTCTTGAAGTACGAAGTACAGTTATAACGAGATGTTTGAGGAAAATCAACATTAGACGAAGTATGATTATTTAAATGTTTTATTATTTATTTATTTTTATTATGTTACAAAAAAAAAAGGTGAAACGTCAACGACTGATGATACAACAGACAAATTAAAATTGAAAGAATTTCATCCAATTGAGAAAGATTTTTAGAAAATGATTGAAGAAGAAAAACAAAAAGGAGATCATAAAATTGTCTCAGTTAGTTAGTAACATGTGATTTTTTTCTCATGTACTATTTCTACTCTTTTTCTTTTATAGAGTAATAAAAAAAAAAACAGCTGCTGAATGTGAAGCTATGGCTCAAGCAGAAATTCAAGCTAATACAAAAGCCCAAATGTTTGAATAATAGATGTATCTTCTAATCAGACATAGGTTTTTTCATTATATCTTATTTGAATAGAATTCAAATAAAAAAAAAATAATTAATTGTATTTTGCATTTCAGAGAGGTAGGAGTGCGGGTAAGAAAAAGATCTCACATTCCCAACTTTTGTTGAGAAAAATAATGCAAAATGAATGCCGAAAAAATTTAGTGATCAAAAATATTTTCACCCTTTGCTGCTTCCTGTGACATGCATCGTATAGATATTATCATTTAGAAAATAGAAGTCATGTATTGAAGATATATATGACAATACAAATAGCGTTGTTCAAGATTACAATGTTAGATTAATCATAAATTGGTAGAAAAATAATAATAAATATGAACAGTTTCAATAAAATAAAATTTCAGAGAGCGTTGATCAACTTTAAAAATTGTTATAATTCTGATTTATTCATTTATTTGATATTTTTCTAATTAGTTATTTTAAAACCTCTAATAACATGTCATAAATTGATAACAGTCAAAGTTTGTGAATTCCACACTTTGATCCCTCAAGAAGCCACACTAATAAGCTTTTTTTAACATTGTTTGCTGTCGGATTTCCAGTTGTATTACTGAGATATTCGCACCGTTCGCGAATCGCCTATGATAAATGATAGTTTGGCGTATCTAAGGAAAACAGCACTTTTTGATACTTATACTTGTTATTTGAAATCAATTGTAAGTATTCAATTGAACATACACTTATCAATGGTCATTTAGCACTTATGCGCATTTGAAACAGATTCGAACAACTGTATTATTCACTGGTGATATCTACACTATTTCATTTTCATACATAAAAAATTCATAATGTGTTGTCAATTTAGTAAACGCAAATACAACAGAGCTGTACAAATCAACCAAGTCTAATTCATTTCATAAACTTCTGAAAATTTTCTTCAACAGAGTTTCCGTCAATGCATACATCTTGCGAATTTTTCAGCGACCGAATTTCAATGCCGGTGATACATACTCAAATTCTTGTCCGAATTAAGTTCAGTACAACTCATAAGTAGAATTCAGATGAGTTCAATTGTGTAGTCATGATTTGAATTAAATAGTTTATATGACATTTCAAGAGGTGCGTTACTGAATATTGTGTTGGTCTATATATGAAGAAAACGATCACTGTATTCATGATCCAAAAAGATATCAATCTGAACTAATTTGTTAACGAGATAAGAAGAGATGCTAGATATACAAACTATAGGTACGTTGATTTTAACTGCTGTATCATTATACTATCATAGACGGAAAATGTAGAAACACAATCATGTTCCATAGACTTTCGATTAACAATATAACCAAAAAATTGCAGTAGAAAAGTTAAACTTCATTTTTTAATCAAGTTTATAAATTATGAAAGCTTCTTCCAATTCACTAGAAATCAGTGTAAGTTTTTTATGACATTGAACTCTTTCAGCATAGACTCGCCTAGAATTGAAACCAGAGAAGGATTACATAGTAGATATGGATACGACGAATCGGTTGAGTGTATAATCATATATCTGTTAGTTCTTTTTATCACGACTTCCTCGAAAAAATTTCAAACCATGTAATACTCATTGAAAAACAATCAGTAATTCGTTTAAGAAAATCGTTACAAAAGAAGCAGCTAAAATTTTCTTTCTGTCCTGTTTGTTTCTAATTTCGCCACTCAATGTAATATTTTTTCTGAATTCCATCACTAACACAAAAACTGTACGGAGGACCAGAAAAAGCTCTCGCTGCTATCCTTAGTGATTCACGCTTATCACTTTCATAATAATGTGCAGTTATGGTTCTAAGCTATCCAATCTGATAACATTCGTTATATAATGAATTTATTCAAAAACCTATTTGCAATTTCTGAATTTTTTATTTTATTTCGATTATGTACAATTATTTGTTTGATGTGCTTGAGTTGAACAGTTTCAATTCTCTTTGGTAAAAACCACACGTTATTAAAAATTTCAAAAAAATACAATAAGATAATGATAGGCACTTTCAGAGTGAAAAATTGACTTTTTTTAAAACTGATACAAATTTTTAGTTCAATGATTTTTGCATTGGTTTGACAAACTTTAGACATTGACTTCATTTACAACTTCAGTCACAAGCAATTTCTCGATATTGTTTATAAACATAGTTATGTGGAGCACACTAGACATTTTTTATTTATTTTGAGATGTAAATAGTAAAGAAACATAAACATTGGGTTAACATCTCATAATTGTATTTATGAGCAATGCTGAGAAGCGCATTTGTTAGCAAAGTTATAACTGAATTCAAAGTTTACAACTTCGTGGTCCTGAATGTGTAGATGTGATTGTCGGTCTGAAAGAGTGAGCGTGAATGTGGCTAGCATGGACATGAGTTTGATGAAGAGAAGATTCACATGCCTGTTAATACCCACACTTCCACGCATTCACGATCTTAAAAGTTTCGTATTGTTCTTCGGAAAATTTTAGTATAATGTTAATAAACTACCTTCATTTTTTTCACGTTTTTATTTTTCGTATTTTTCTTTCTTTTTTTCTATCTTTGTCTTTTTTTATCTTTTGGATGCTATATCTTTCACGTCTACTTAAGACCGAAATAATGACAGGACTTTATAGAGACAACACACAATATTTAACTGCCACATGCAGTTCTTCGATAGAATAGAAAACTTGTTTGTAATCGTCCTTTCTTTTATTCAGTGTTACCTTATATTGTGTTAGAGGAAAGCATGTGAAATATGAAAACAAGACAAAATATTTCTTTTTATTGATTGGCCATGTGGTTTCTTTTGAAGAGTATCCGTCCCCTTATCAAAATAATGGTGATAGTAAGCCTTGACTTGTGTTTTTTTTACTTAGTATTTTTTTTCCATTGGTCGCTAGCAAAAGAACAAATTACTTGTGTTCTGACATAGTTACTCGTTACACCGTCGGCTATTGAAAAATATGCCTTGGAAAGAAACATGGGAGGAAAAAGCCATTAGAAAGCGTTCGTCACTTGTTGATTTAATTCCTAAAGAATGGAGACTTCCAGAATCTATTTTGAAATCACTACCAAAAGATAGTACTGTGATTCCCTCACAATGTGGAATATTATCCGAACTCGATTTGGAAATAACGGAAATTGATGATATCGATGAGCTTGCTCGTCGTATTAGCATATGGTACGTATTCAGCAGTACAAGCCACGGAAGCTTACTGCAAGCGCGCGGCAATCGCCCATTAGCTGGTCAATTGTCTGGCAGAAATACTTTTTAAACAGGCACTTGATAGAGCTAAAGTTCTTGATGAATATTTTGAATCAACGGGAGGAAAAACTATTGGACCGCTTCATGGAATTCCTATCAGTTTCAAAGATCAATTTAACATAAAAGGAGTTGAAACTACCATGGGTTATGTTGGTTATTTGGGAGACATTTTGGAATATAATTCGATACTTGTTGATTGTGTACTCTCCCTTGGTGCTGTGGTTTATGTCAAAACGACTGTACCTCAGACTCTTATGCTTGCTGAAACTCGTAGTAACCTACTTGGTGTGACTGTAAATCCACGAAATCGAGAATTGAGCTGTGGTGGTAGCTCAGGCGGAGAGGGAAGTCTCGTTGCCTTAAAAGGAAGTATCTGTGGTTTTGGAACAGATATTGGAGGGAGCGTGCGAACTCCAGCAGCTGTGAATGGTATATATGGCTTGCGACCGACTGAGGGACGATTTCCTTATGGATTGGTGAAAAATTCACTTGAAAGACAAGAATCTGTTTCAAGTGTGGTGGGACCTATAACGAGATCTCTAGCAAATGTTCGAACGATTCTTAAAGCAATTATGGAAGCAAAACCATGGTTAGTTGATCCCAAAGTTCATAATATTCGGTGGAGAGAAGATATGTTTCAAGAAAGTCAAGCAGCTAAATTATCCTTTGGTGTTATTCGATTCGATCATCATGTTCATCTCTCTCCACCTGTTCAACGAGCGATTGATATGGCTGTTACAGCTCTGTGAAAAGCTGGTCATGAAGTTGTCGACTGAGATACTTCCGATCATTTACAGGTTAGTGTCGAATCAGTTTGCTATATCGCTATATTCAGTACTTTAACTGCGATTACTGATTCGTAAGAGTCCACAATTCAATCGCATCTTAATATGGATTTCAATATTTTACAAAACAAAGTCATGAATGAGTGTTGAAGTCTACAATGAGGACGTAAGTCCCGATGATTCTATCTACAGATTGTGACAAATATGTTTACCTACTATTTTGAATTTTATAATCACGTTCTTTAGAGTTTGCACTCTTATATTTCAATCGAGTTGAAAATTTTTAAGTCCAGAAAAACCCTTTCCTTCTCAACTGCACATTTCTTCAAATGCGATCATGAAAATTAGCAGACATACTGACATGCTGGCTTGAATCTTATCAGTATTTCTCAATCAATGCATTTCGAGTTCTGAACGAGTCTTCGAACTATGAATGAGTTTAAAAAGGAGAAATCAAAATTGAACCGCAATCTCCTAATCACATCTAATCACATTTAGTCAATTTTTAGGGCCTCGAAATTTTGTCAAAAATGTATTTGGCTGATGGTGGAAAAGATATACAGGCTGCACTTGATATTAGTGGTTAACCAAAACAACCTGGTATTTTTGTTGGATCAAAAGAAACCGAATTGAGTGTTTACGAATATTGGCAAGTGAACTCTGCTCGTAATGCTTATGCAATAAGATATCTTGAAAAGTGGAATAAGACACGTGAAATAACTTCCACAGGTAGCCCGATCGATGGAATTATTTCACCTGTCATGGCACTGCCAGCCTATCCTACTGGATTTATGATTAGCGTAGGATACATGGGTATTGTCAATTTTCTTCAATTGAGTTCAGTAGTCCTTCCAGTGACTCGCGTGGATCTTCAGTTGGATCAAATTACCGATGAATATCGTAATGTCGACATTGCGAGTAACTGTGATCAGGCAGCAAAAGATGCATACAAAGGACCAGAAGCATTCGAGAATATTATTGTTGGACTGCAAGTAATTTGTAGACGATTAGAAGAAGAAAAAGCTATTGGCTTGGCGATGGTATTAGAACGAGCACTTCAATTTAATCGATCGAACGAATGAAAAGCTTTCATGAAAACTGATTTCAATGGGAAGGACAAATAAAAGTAGAACATAAACAAAATATTTTTGCTTGATCTAGAAGATGGTCAAATGAAGAACAGAATATTTTATCCTTTTAAAGATTGAACAAGAAATTAACGGCTGTTCTGGAAGATCTCGTGCTCAAGCATCATTTAGAGAAAAGGGAGGCAGTATTTGAAATCAAGGAAGTATGAGTATAGGAATAAGGATGAATCTTGACTTCAAAGGTACCCAAACGCACGTACAATCGAACCCACATTCACGACTACATACATATCTACTCATATCAGCAGTATTGTAAAAGTCGATTCTAGCACGACTTTTATTCAACTTCCAAAGATTTGTATGTCCTGGAGAGTTCAGAGTGTGGCTGTGACTGTGTATTTTTGTGTCTGATATTGGTGTTCTTGAACCGATTTATGTGAAATTGCTCGTTTTCTTTTATACATATTAATCCAGCTACCCACAATAAATAAATAAAGAAAAAGGCATTTAGTTGATTTTCTTCCTTATGGAAAAGAAAAAAGTCAACAATCATAATTGGTTGAATTCTTTTTTTCTTTGTTTGTTACCAATTACTTTTAATATATTCGTCAATATCGTCATCAAATTGTAATGTATCAAATGTTGTCCATGGTGGACTATCATGATATAAAAGAAAATAAAAATCATTATGATTAAAATTTGTTTTTTTTTTCTAAACAACTAGCTGCTGTTGAAACAAGATCTGTTGATGGTTTTATTTAAAATGATCGATTTAATTTATCTGTATTAATTGTAATGGTTCACTAGTACAAAAATGATTTTCAATTGATACAAGAAATAATATTTCTTTATTATCAATTAAATTAAATACTTTTAAGCATGTTAATATTGGTGGTAAACTGACGATGGTGATCAATGTCTTTCAAACAACCTTGTCCCATACTATTATAAACTGACATGCGACAAATTATAATCAATATCTTGTCGCAAAAGTGTTATCGTACATGTGTTTGTTCATTACAAGACACTACTGCCCATTCCCAAAAAGAAGGTGGGTGGATATTTTTTGAATAACTTTTGATAGGTACAGCATAGAAAGCTGCGGTTTTCACCTTTGCAAAGAGACATATCTGGCGCATCTATCGATATAAAATTGTTGAGATTCATTTCATTAATAACTAGTGATCCATGGTCCCCTTGAAAGAGTAGCCTATTGCTCTATGAAGATATGATCAATTATAAACTTTGAGGAGTGGACTAGAACTGCCAACTCAAGCTCTACTATTCTACGAAAGGTCAACATTTTTATTTCGATTGGTTCAAAGGTTATGAGCAAAATACTAACGACATTTGATCGGTTTTTTGTCAATTTTGCCTGCTGCAAAATATTTTTTTAAATTATCATTACTGATGTTTTCGATAATAACGAATCAATTGACAATGTTTTTCTTAATATAGAACAACTCTTTTTCTATCAAGATACTATTGCTAGCCATTGTATGATATAACTTTCATATGTTATTACACTGTTAACTTGAAATACATACATCATATTTCACAAATATTTATGATCAGAAGGGCAATATCTTAAATTTCGTTCTTTTATTGACGACTAAGGAAGGAAAAGAGAGGAGCAACACATATTGTTAATCGTCCACCTCTTCTGCTACCGAATCAACTTCTTTCTTTTCATCTACCAATTGTTCCTCGACTTCGATGAATCGATCAGACTTCTTGAACATGTCTTCGATCTTGCGTGTTTTATTAAGATATCCCATAGCGATTACTCTACTTAAAGACGTCATCCATTGGCAGGCTAAATGTTCGACGTCACTAAGACTAAAGTTAACATTTTTATCACGAACATAGTCTTTCAAACCACCCCATGTTAATTGAATCGGATTGAGCATGCAATGTTTGATCGGCAAGCTACGAAAATACATTCATCAATATAAAAAGTAGTTTTGAAGGAGTTCAACTAACCGTAAAATATCGACATTGTATTTTTTGGCTGCTTCATCGACCATGTCACGTTTTGGTGGTAGATTATCGAAGCGAGCACAAGTAACTCGGCTTCAGTGGCTTTAAAAGAGACTCTGATATTATGATTTATTAACCATTATACGACAAAATCTTTTCGCCATGCTCTCTTCGAAGGGATAGTGTCTTCAGTAAGTTGATTATGTCACGTCGCTTTATTAATAATCAAGACAATCTTGACACGCTGGCCTAGACATGTCAACGATAATATTCATAGGAAAATGTTAGAAATTATATTACCCAGCTGTTCACTCAAAAGAGAAGCTGTTCGATCAATACAGGTCAGAAAGTGTTTCGAGTCCATACTATGATTCTCATCATATTCGAATATATCGATTGTTTCCTTGTGAAAACCCGATTCGTTTAGAAGAGCAGAAATCTCTAGTCGTTTTCCTATAATCATAGGCTATCAGTTGAAATATAAGAGAAATAATGAATACTTTTATTTTGACTATGTCGCATTCGACCTACATCTGTTGTTTCATCAGTCCATACAAAACGTCTCTCTTCGTTTTTTGTTGCACCATGTTTCATGCCAAAAAATCTTAGAGTGATTGCTGCGCAGTTCAGCAATAGTAGCAAAGTAGCGCGCACGTGCAGCCATAAATGAGGGGGATATTGAGTGGTACAACGACTTTCGATGTTCGCTTGTATACAAATCCAATTTTTGTAACCCAACGTCACTGAGATGTTGTTGCCTGAATATGAAAATCAGAATCTTCGGCCAGAATATGGACAAGAATTTTTTTTGATAGTAGGACAGATTCGTTTAGCCAAAAGAGAATGAATATGAAATCTAAAATAAATGATCATATTAATATTACTCTTCTGTTAAATTAAACTCACCGAATAGTCTCTTGTTGTTGTTCGGTTAGAGGAGTTGATGAACATCGAGAGTTTGATAATTTGTGCGGCGAACGAGGAACAGGAACACTAATTGACATGGCATTCGAGCTAATTGTAGACGATGATGATGATCACGATCATAAATTTTGAAGTCAACCGAACACCTGAAGTTTTTAATTCTCTAACACTTGTTTTTCTTTCTCCAATTTTCTCTTCCTTTCTAGCATGTCATGTTCGATTTCTTTCATCGCACTCTTTAATCTTTCGACAGACCTCATAGAGATATCAAGCATAGATGATAGTCGTTCATTAACATTGAAGAGTGGGATTACTGGTCCAAAATTTTCTTTTTCGACAAATTTGATGACATTGAAAAATATTTGCTTCATGTCTTGAGAAAATTCATGGTCTTTAGATATGTTTACAGTGAACGTCGACAGTACAAATAACTATTCACGGCTGAAAATGCGTTATGGTACAATCAGTAAGAGAAATACCCGAAACAGAACGTAAAAATATATGATCAAATCTACGTACGGCCCTAAACGTGTCGCTTTTGATCATAAATATTTGTGAAATATGATATATGTATTTCAAGTTAGCAGTGTAATAACATATGAAAGTAATATCATACAATTGTTAATAATAGTATCTTGATAGAAAAAGAGTTGTTCTATATTAAAAAAAAACATTGTCAATTGATTCGTTATTATCGAAAACATCAGTAATGATAATTTTAAAAAATATTTTGCAGCAGGCAAAATTCACAAAAAACCGATCAAATGTCGTTAGTATTTTGCTCATAACCTTTGAACAAATCGAAATAAAAATTTTGACCTTTCGTAGAATAGTAGAGCTTGAGTTGGCAGTTCTAGTCCACTCCTCAAAGTTTATAATTGATTATATCTTCATAGAGCAATAGGCTACTCTTTCAAGGGGACCATGGATCACTAGTTATTAATGAAATGAATCTCAACAATTTTATATCGA